CAAGACCCTCCCTCTATGGACGGTTTTTAAGAGGTGGGCGACATCATTTCCCAGCGACGTGACGACAACGGGCCGACAGAGTACTTGGTACATAATTTCTCTTACTATAGCCATAAGGCTGACCAGCAGTGACCGTTGGTTGCCCCGTGTGGAACTTCTCACCTGTTACAAACGCAAGTTACAAGGCAAGCCGGTACCTTCGGCTCCTCATCGTATTTGCCTCTGGGTTCCACCTTCAGATCGTCAGTTGCACCCTCAACTCGGATTGAGTTCATAAGGAGGGGGGGGTATTACATGCTGCGCCTGCACACAGGCCCCATTTCAGGGGCCCGGCGGACTGGCGGAGGTTGTTGAGGGGCCCCCAGGCCACAAGCCCATCAGACACATGCCCTGGAGGCCCACGGCGGCCCCCAGGCATCAGGTTTCGACTAGGTAGGGAAATAGGGCAGAGGCCATACCTGCAGCGTTCGAGTACGTACCTGGGTGTCATAGCTGGACTTGGCTTTAGCGAACTGCAGCACAGCGTACACCGGCGACGTCAGTACTTGGCAGCAGTTACCTGCAGGTGAGACAGTGAGGAGGACGACATCATCTTCTTCTTCTATATGTTCTCGTCCGCCACCTCTTTTTCTTCCTTCCTTTTTCTTCTTCTTCTTCGTCTTCTTCGTCTTCTTCTTCTTTCAGAGAGAGAGAGAGAGAGAGAGACTTCAGGCAAAAGTTTCACGGGCATATGCCCAAGATCTGGTTCGACATTTTTTTGCGGCAGACATTGATTGGACACTGGGCCAGGGACTATTTTTTGAACTTCTCCATAGCGATGTCGGTCTTCTCCCTCACCTCCATCTTCGTCTCGCCTCCCCCCCATCTCTCATCTGTTGTATCCCCCCATGTGCGTGTGCAAGGAGGGACCTTTCTTCTACGAATGCGGCCCCTCCTCTCTCTCACATATGTGTGGTGTATGATGGGGTGTTGCATCAGTATCTGACAGATCAGGTCATATCTTGAGTCTTCCGTTGCGCTACATTGTGCTATACCATAATCTATCTGGATGTACATTGCTTGTTGATGCTTGGCGAAGTTGGTGGACACAACATTGTCCATACGAGTCCATTTCATCACTTCGCAGATCCTTGGCTCCCCCTACATCGCCCGACTGGGCATGCTTCAGATAAACATGGATCTGACTCACACCTGACTCGAACTATCTGCAGACTCACCCCATACGTTCATCGGGGGGGAGACCTGGCGCTTCAAGCATGGAAGACAGCGACAGGGACTGCACAATCATACACGTATGAAATGTAGGGAGATGAGACGAAGAGAGGAGGAGAGATGACGCCAACACCCATATCACCGAATTTGACCGTAATACTACGGAAATAGAAATTCCGAAATGTCGAAGATACTGAGTCTCGAAATGTCGAAGATACAAAATCTCGTAATACCACTGATGTCAGATTCCCAAAATAGTCCCCTCAATGTCTCAATCCAAAAATGTCTCAGTCCTTATGTCGCCAAGAGTCCACCTCTGATCTCTGTCTAGATAGTAGTCGAGAATGTAGAAGGTTAGAAGAAGATGATGATGAAGAACAAGAAGAAGAAGAAACAAATTAGAATACCGGGGCCAGTACCCGAACAGTTTGATAATTGTTTTAGAAAGTTTGAGTATACTGCTAACCTACTAACCCGCTGCTCATGGAACCACCTTAGGAGGGCTATCAGGAAAACTTGGAAGTCCTACATTTCATGACACCTCCATCCATCCTCTTTACCCCACTCCGGCAAGACTTACTGCAGCAGAGTCACCATCTCAGCTGCTGCTATGCCCTATTCCCATCCTACTAGCTGGCCCCTCACTAATAGGACGTGTGATATCCATCCATCTAACTTCCCTTTTCTTCCCGCCAACGTCAAACATAGTTGTTCTTCGTCTCCTATACTCGTTACCCTATCGCCGTCGCGTATCCTTGCAACCTTTCTCCACTGCCTTCTTCTTCCGGCGACGAGCCGACCTCCTCCACCACATAGTTTGCTAGATGAGGAGCCGAAGAAGAATGAGCTTCTCCCCCAGACGAGCCGACCTCCTCCACCACAACGAGTAGCAGGGTGCAACAGTCTTCTTCATCTCGCGACGAGCCGACCTCCTCCACCACATAGTTCACAAAATGAAGGTTGCGGCCTACTGTTCCTTACAACCCCCTACTCTTCATCATCTTTCGACGAGCCGACCTCCTCCGCCACATAGTTCGGAAGATGAAGAGCAGTAGACAAGCAACTTCATCAGATCCCATCATGGTTAAAAGCGGACTTCAACTTTCCATCTTTCTTCGACAAGCCGACCTCCTCCACCACGTAGTTCGAAGAGAGAAGAAGTAGTAGTCGTCCACTCAAAGTGACCATTGATTAGGTTTTACGAGCCAGGGACAATCAGAAGAACCATCCTCCCTCTTCCCTCCAACCTCCCCCTACTCTTCTTCATCCCCCGACAAGCCGACATCCTCCACCACATAGTTCGCGGGATGAGAACAACAGCCACAACCACACAATGGACACCTTCCTCAACTCTTCCACCTCTCACAACGAGCCGACCTCCTCCACTTATAGTTCACAAGAGGAGGAAGAGCAGAAGTGAGGTGAATGTTCTCACCCAAATACGCGCAGCACCAACCCCACTGCTAACCTCTTACCTCTCTCTGGCAAGACTTATAACAGCTAAGCCACCATCTTTGCTGCAACTATGCCCTAATCCAATCCCACTAGCTAGCCCTGCTCACCAGTAGGACGCAATATCACCAACCAAAAGCCCTCCCCCCAACCCCGGTACCATACATCCTCCAAACACCTGGCTTGCAAACACCAATAAAAGGTGGGTACAATCTCCTAAGCCCGGTTGCAAATTTCAGCGTTGAGAATCGGATGTCAAACTCCTCCTACCATAAATCAAGAATTCCAACATGTACGCCTTCAAAAGGGTTCGCAAATCAAGATCAAACACAGTGACTCAGAGATTGAATCAAGACACACAGTGTCCAGGATTTCGAAATCAAGATTACCTGCCTCTTGAATTTTAGCATCAAAACAAAGTCCAGGAAATCGAACGAAATGAGATCAAATTCGAAAGTTACTTTTAAGAAATCGGCGGTGCCCAACCTCCAATTTACGAATCTCGGACTAAGAGTATTGCCAGGAAGTAATTCAGAAACAAGACATACGACAGTCGACAGGACTGGTGATCTGATCGTACGAAGGACGTATATGAAATTCAAAACTAAAAAATAGGCAAAATAGATTAGATCAGAATTAATCCTGATTTTCAAACCTCAAGATCAGAATTATTGGTTATATTTTAGTTACTTATTTAGAATTCAAGGCTAGAAAGAAAACAAATATGTATTGAGCCAGACAAGGCAATCTGGGAATCACTATCGTTAAGAATCTCATCAGGATCTACAAGAACTTTGACCTTATCGTTATTACTATTTCAGACTCATCACTACGAAACATGAAGGGAAAGAACACAAACTTACCCTCGACAGTCCCTAAACGCACCCCCCCTCTCTCCAAACCTCACCTCCTCCTTCATCGGCTCTCAAGCAACTCGGCCACCTGTGGTCGACAATACTGTTCAACCATCCCAGGACCGAACAATGAAGATAACAGCACCGCAGCTAGGAATACCATCACAGAAATCCAACCCGCGTCGAGAGACTAAACAACCGAGCCTGCCAGCCGCCCCTCCAAGGTAGCCCAAAGAGATGAAGGGGTGTCATCGCCGCAGACGTCGCCCGCCTATAGAAGACCTGTCTTCAACTTCCTCGCTCCCACGTTCCACCTCCCATACCTTCTCGCAATACTCTCCGTCTAGCCCATGAAGAAACAGTGTCCTCCCTGCCACCCTGCCTGCTTCCCCTTACTCCCCCCCGCAACATTTCTCCTCTCCAACGAAACCCTGATATGAGATACGCTGCCCCTGTGTTCTTCCTCTCAAACAAGCACGTGACAAAACAGCAGACAGAGGAGCCTTCAGCAATGTCCGGCCGCAACTAGCCCGCTCCTCCATGCCCAACGATCCCTCTCCCACCTCTTCATCCACCTGCTGTCCGCTCGCCCGACACTCTCTTCCTCGCGTCGAAGCTGGCATCATGGCACCCCAACCGCTCTTCATTTCCCGCCCTCACCCAGGAGTCCGCCGTCGCGTTAAGACGTCAGGTGGTGGAGTGCTATCGGTAGCGCCCCGCCAGAGATCTCAAATTTGTATTATGTCGGCGCAATTTTCATTCTTTATCCTTGTTATATAATCCATTCCACCTAATCCATTGAACTGGCTGAAAAACAGCTTGAGTGAACAGAAAGTCTAGGAAACCTCATCGCTCCCCAGGACTGATCCGTGGACCAGTATCCAGAGTACCCTCATTTTCCAGAAATCCATGTAACAGAAGCCTGACAGGGAGAATGCCGGGATCACTTTCTGACCATAATTTGCTAGCCTTTACTTTAAGCAGCTGCAGCTCCTTCAAAGAATACGTGTCAAACCAGCAAAGATTGACTTGTTTCACAGCCTCATATTTGAGGTAGGTATCGCTCTCTGCAATCCTCTGATTCTCACATACCACAGTGAGCATGGCTACTCCTCCATGAGGGAGTTGGTCCTTGACGGCCTTCATTATCTCTGATCTGATAAGAGATTCCCCCGCTTTCCCCCCAGTTAATCTGAGAGAGATAAAAAGGAGGACTTCGTTCCTTGATCAGGCTTGGTCATGTATTTTTGAAAAATGGATGAAGGACAACAATTGTCCTTTTATACTTAACTTCCCTGCATGTGGCAGCCTGTTCGTCCACCTGCGGATGATGCCCTCAGGTGGTTGTCCATCCCAGCGCATCCAGTTTTTGCATTTCTAAATCTGAGCAGGTCATTTATGTACTTGTTTTTTTTATAACATAGACTATTGGACATACAAATTGCCCTGAAAGAAAGGTATAGAGATAGGAATAAGGCATACCACAGATGTATTATGGAGAGTCATGATGTCATGAACATCGATCGATTGCTTCGGTGGAGTAGGCTTTGGTGTGCTTCTTTGTATGCCGGTCTTCACATCAAAAACATGGAACTCTCCAGCCTTTGTGGTGCATACCAGCCGGTGATCTTGGTTGGGAGCATGGCCGAAGGCCATGGCCGAAGGTGGGGCATGCATCCTGTGTGCCATGAAAGTCAATCTCCCTGCAGAGGAAACATGAACATCCGCATTCCTATTTTATCAGCTCACTGTTCCTCTCCTGTCTTTTCTCTCTTTTTTTTTTTCTCGTTTTGATGTGACACTGTGTTTTTGTTTTTCCTACTTTATCCCTTACTCTGCTTAAAGAAATAGCGGGCCTCGCGTGACGCTCCTATGTGAGACCCAGTTCTGCAGTGTTTGGAAGAAAAGCCTGGGACCAGGGACGGTCCCAACCAAAGTCTGCTCGTGACTAGAGGCACAAAGTTTCAGATGGTCAGGAGGCGCGAGGTTTCAATTGGTCGGCAAGGCGGGGCCAAAGGGCACCATCGGGCGGTACCGGGAGGCGAAGTTTCTCGAATAGGGGGAGGTGCGAAGCCAAGGCACCGTGAGGCACCGGGAGATCAGTGCAGAGGTGGTGTGAAATGGTACCAACGTGAAGTTCAAGGCGGACCAATGCATGGCATTGAGAGCAAGGTGGTAGGTGTGCGCCATTGCGAGTGTTGGTGCTGAGGTGGTAAACGTGCAGGGGCGGTGGTGATGATACATGCATGGGTGGTGATGTGTCCCACGACAAGCCTTGGTGTAGGGTGGTGGCATCGTGGAAGCGTAGGCCGGTCAGTGACATCCGTGTCGAGGGTACATGCATGTGTGGTGTTGGCATCGGGGTGTGAGTACGAGGCCGAGAAAAGAGGAGGAAGGAAGAATGGAAGAGGAACGGAGATAGAAAACGGATAGGAGAAAAAGGAGGGTTCTCGTGATCTGCCATCGCCCACAAGGGAAGGAAGGTAACTTACAGGGGAGGGAAAGGAGGCAGGCTAGCATTCGGAGGTCGGTGAAGGGGCGAGGCTGCAGACATGCTAGTGGTATCGTGGAGTGGATCCGTGAAGGGTAGAAGACAAAGGACGGAGTGAGCCGACCAAGGGAGTTAGAGAAGATGGCAGGGGAGTGGGGAAGCTGGTGAAAGGGGTTAGAGAAGACAACAGGGGAGCACCAGGTCGATTGGCAAGTGACATTGAGGGTGGAGGAGGAAGGAAGAACGGGGAGGAGGGATACACGGGATGCAAAGACGACAAGCAAGAAACACAGGAAGAGGAAGAAGTGGGAGGGGAGAGCACATGTGCGATCATACAAGCAGGAAGAACAGGGAGGAGATAAAGAGAGGGGGGAGAAGCGAAAGGGAGGGATGTGATCGGCTTGCAAAGATGAAGGTAAGAGGGAGGAGGAAGGAAGAAGGGGGAGGAGGAAGAATGACACGTGTCTTACAGGGTGCCACAGGGGTGATGGATGAAGGGAAACAGGCGCTAGACTTGGTCAAAGGTTTGGTGTGGATCTCGATTGCTGTTTCTTTTTTTTTTTAGATAACAAGGAGTTTATCCTTTTTGCATTTCCCACCAATCTGCTTCAATATTCGTGCATTTTTTTTTCTGCATCTTTGAATTTCATAGCACTCCAATGTATTTTTTTCATGGTTACCAACCTGACGTCCGGATCCCGATCCCGATCCGGACCGTCCGGTGTCCGGTGTCCGGGTCCGGTGTCCAATTCGGAGGGTCCCGTTGGACCCGATTTCAAAAAATTCGAAATTCTTTTGGGGGGTTCCCAGGCCGTTTACCTGGGCCTGGGGTACCCCGGAAAAATAATGCTGATGTTTTTTTAAAACCGGTAACCCAACCGGACAGGCCCTGAAAGGGACCTCTGTGTTATAAGATTGGCACACGAGTTCACTGCTTTGCTCTTATTTGGATGAAATCTTGGTGCATTTGAGCTCTCTTCTTGGTACATGACTATCTGGACATCTGCGTGATTTTGCAACTTGATTTTCTGTCTATCGCTCTCGCTGATATTCCTTGCATTTTTGTGACGTGAGAGGAGGGTCTGGCCGATGGGAGGGGCGACCAGGGATGGGAGGGAGATGAAGGATGGGAGGGAGATGAAGGATGGGTCCCGGAGGGGCGAGCAGGGATGGGAGGGCGATGATGAATGGGGGGGTGCTGAAGGATGGGAGAGTGATGAAGGATGGGAGGGAGATGAAGGATGGGAGGGGCAAGCAGGGATGGGAGGGCGATGACGCCAGACAAAGATGAGCGACATTGGATACTGTGTTGGTGGGGCCTGAGGATGATGACATTGGCACACCAGTTCACTGCTTTGCTCTTATTTGGATGGAATCTTGGTGCATTTAAGCTCTGTGTTTGGAGTTTTTTTTTTTTTTTTTTNCACGAAGCCGTGGCTGGTAAGCAGTGACATGTGTTGCTCACATTTGGGTCTACGTAGTGTCTGTCTCTTATACACATCTAGATGTGTATAAGAGACAGGAGAGAGAGAGAGAGAGAGAGAGAGAGAGAGAGAGAGAGAGAGGACTGGATACTGCAGCAACGCTAAGGGAAGGCAGCAAGTGACATAGGCTGGAGGGCAGGCAACAGCAGTAGGGAGCAAAGTAAATGGGATTAAGCCAAGACATAGTAACTAACTGTACGCTAAGGCGTCGCCCAAGTACTGGTGGTTTAAAAGAATGAGCACAATTCATAGATCCAGCTACTAGAGAGGTTTTTTGCTTTTTTCCTTTGAAGGTCACATGTTTGAGAGGAGGCGGGTGGGGAATTCACAGTCGTTTTTGAAGGATTCACTGCCAACAAGAATGAGAGAGAACCATCAGTTCAATACTAGGTGAAGGATAAATAGCGAAGTTAACCTCCTCCGAGTCTTACCTAAGTGTGTGTTCAGCACCATCACGTTCCCGTCTTCCAGTCCCACCGCAAGGAAAGCGCCGTCAGCAGAGATTGTGCTGGCTACAACAGGGGTTGGTAATACCCACGCCTGCAACACAGCACCCTGAACTGTAAAAGGCAGCTGGGAATTCTGCGTTCCGGACGACTCTGAGGCTGCATCTGGCCTAGCCACCTCCAAGGCTGCGGGCGGCGAAGTCTTCCTCAGCTTCTGGGTAGTTGAAAGTCCCGACTTCAGCGGTTGACTAACCTTTTCTGGTTTCTTTGAAGCTTGTTCACCTTTGTTATCAGCGCCCGAGCGGGTTTGTTTTGCACCAGGTGGGGTTTGTTTCTTTGAGCCCGGCGGAGTTTGTTTTGCACCAGGTGGAGTTTGTTTTGCACCAGGTCCTTCTTTGTTGATAGCACCATCTCCAGCCATTGTTGATGTTGCCTGACCATCATCTGCGGGAGCTGCCTTTGCCGGTCTCGTGGGCATAATATCTTGAGGGCCCTCCACAAAACCTGAATACCAAGACTGCCATACAAGGAGACAAATCTTCTTAACCGGAACCCCCCTGACTCAAAGTCAAAAAAGAGAAACAAAAAAGGCCCGAAAGGATTGGTCAAGAAAGAAAAAAAGGGGAGAAAAAAGGTAGATCCACTGCAAGGTACGTCAGAAATGGTCCAGAATTGCAGAAAAAAGACGGAAACAACCTTGCCATTAGAAAAAATGAAACAAAAGAGAAAATAGGCCCAGTGCCCAAGGGTGTTTTTTTTTTCCCCTTCGTTTGTTCCGATCTATGCATGGGAGCAGCACAGCTGGGAAGCAGGCTCAGTGTCCCATACAAAGTAAACAATTGCGAGCATCCCCTCTAAGCAGTTCCTGGTGGTGAAGGCTGCATCTATTGGTGGGGAGCTGCACCTGCTGGAAATCGGGTACAGCGTCCCTCTAGATGTCATTGTTTTTTTTTAGTGTAGTTATGATGCACCCAAAGCGTGAGCACCTGTCTCTTATACACATCTAGATGTGTATAAGAGACAGCCGCCCAGCTGGTAGCCTAGCATTTCTTTGAATTCGATGGATGCTTCATTTCAACTCAGAAAGTGTTTTTGTACCAGAGTCTTATAGTGTTTTTTTTTTTTTTTCCTAGTTTTATGTGCCTTATTTGTTTTTGTTTTTTTTATGTTTGCACTATAGGCCCGTATCATTTGTTTTTGGAATTTTTAATGAATTTTGCACCAAACATGGTGAATTTTTGACTCTAAGTTAACCATCTCTCTTATTATTAGGAACGGGGATGTTGTCAGCTGCGTAGCACGCCGAACGTGTTCGCGCCCCTTCACGTTCGCGCGAACGTGTTCGCGCGTTCGCGTGAACAGCTCATGAACATATTCGGGCGAACATAATTTTTTTTAGTAAAAAGGGGAAAAAATATATATATTTTATTCGGTTTTTGATTTTTAACTCATGATTGGCTATGAGTTGTCAGCATCTCTCAATTTATGAGGGATGTCCCTGTCACATTTGATGAAGAAGTGAAAGTGAAACATTCTCTGTCCTTCTACATCTTAGACAATTTACCGTTCGAGATGGTCCTAGGCCAGCGATGGCATAAAGCTGCAAAGACTACACTTTTCTGCGTTAGCCAGACTGCAAATTTCAGAAGGAGCAGGTGGGATAACAACCTGCATGTGGCGTTATGTGAAGGAGGCTCCCAAAGATGAGTCTGGTAAATTTTTCATGTCTGCACGCGGATTTTTCAACTACATTCGACAGCATTGAAGAGATGGGCTCTAGGTCGTGTGGGTGACTGAAGCAGAAGTGCAGACTCTTCGAACTAAGGATGACCCGTTGAAAATACAGTAGTTGGTGAAGCCATACCATGATCTGGATGAGGAACCCGCGGTTATTGTAGAGAGGGAGGTGAAGCACCCCCATCCGCTTGGTGTCTGATGTCGTGTCTCACTGTCTCCCAATGGATGAATCTACAAAATGTTGTCTGCAAATATAGAGCTCAAGAAGTTGTTGAGCTCACAGAGAAAGGTTGGATCAAGCCTAGCAACTCTCCGTACAATGCTTTAGTTTTGTTTGTCATAAAGAAACATGGAGGGGTCCGAATTTGCATTAATTACCACGGTCTAAATAATATTGCGATCAAGAACGTGAAGCCACTGACTCGAATTGATGATTTGCTGGATAAAGTGCAAGGATGCAAAGTGTTTTCAAAGATTGCTTTGAAGATGTGATGGTCCCGATGGCGGTCCTTGAGGATGAAGACGAAGGGATAAGGATGGGGGAGATGAAGATGGAGCTGGAAGGCACATCGCGGCTCCAATAAGGACTCGACTCGCAGGTACTCCAAACTGTGCAATTGAAGAATGAGACTGAAACAGACTGCAACTGGGGCATACCCCCAGCGAACTGACTGGACTGCCCTGATATCGATAGTGGTACCGGGCAGGACTGGACTGGACCGAATGAGCACACAGCCTGTGGGGTCAGGCCATGGTCTGGTCCCACAGACCGAAAAAGCAAAATAGACAGATAGCCCTAGCTCTGGGCCAGGGCAGCTAGAGGCACGATACACGATCCTCAGACCTGTAGTAGATCGCGAGAGCCAAAAGCACGCTTCCGCAAAAGCAGCGGAAGTCTGCAAGAATAAAGTTGAGAAATCTAGGATGCGGAGCAAGCTCCATGCGGGGTCCATGCAATGTAGCCTAAGCTACATAATGTCAGAGCAAAAACAAATGTTTGATATACACATCCTTACTAACAATAGAAAATAAAATGTAGCACTGTACAACTCTAAAGCTACGTGACCCCCAAGGCCGCGGATCCTGCGGCCTAGAA